TCATTTCGAAAGCACAGTAAGTCCACATGCTGATTTTTCATATTATTTTTCTCGTGGTCCATTCTATATTCTAACCACGAGTTACATACAACCAAATCAATAAAGTGGTCAAATATTTTCAGAGTCCACTTTCCAGTTCTAATCGAAATTCTATACAACGAAAGAAGAAAATCAATTTTATCTACTCCTCCCATATTCTTGTTGTACTCTGATACAATGTGTGGTTGTGTTACATTAATACTTTTCTTTTTTTCAACACAAAATCGGGACACTTTATTAATGGGCTCATGGCCATGAATTGATGACACGAGTTGCACAATTCCTCCATCAAGCCATCGAAGAAGAAAAATATTATCTGTTCTTTCTACTTGGTAGTCAAAACTACCACGTCCTTCTTTTTTCAAATCCTTTTCAGATTTTAATTCAACTTTGCCGACTCTATTTCCTCTTATAGTACCAGTAGCCCAAATTCCTTTATGCCGTAAATATAATAACAAATTAAGAGTCGTAAAATAATTATCAAAATATAGTTTATGATTCTTTTCCTCTGGAACAGTTTTTACAAGATGAATTACAATATCAGAACAAAAACCTAGCCCTTCGCCTGATAGTATTGTTCCTTTTCCCTGATATATCTCAAAATCATAAACTATACCCTTTGAACTGCATAGGCAAAATATTTTCATTCCCCATTTGATGGGTTTTTTAGGCATATACTGTCTCAATGAAGTTCTTTCCTTAAAAGGGACCATCATTTCATCCACACAAAGATTTTCATCTTTTGGAATATGATAAGACTTTTTTGTGAACATATTTATTATAGGACGTACCTTAAAGAGCTTGTCGTCTGCTGGTTGGTCTACTGTAAACTTTAAATTATTTCGCAAAGAATGAAATCTATTCTTGCTCATATTTTCTGGGAATGATGGTATTACGGTGCCCATTTCCAATACATATCCAAACGCGGATATCCAATGGTACCAATCAGTATTTCTAGAGCTATAAAATTTATTAGTTCATCCTTTGATAAATTTAGAGACTTTCCACATTTAGCCATTGATGCATGGTTTGTTGAATATACTATTTGTTGAAGGAAGTCTTCTGTAAAGTACTCCGAGAAATACTCGACAGGCGATTTCATATTTTTTTTGGGATATGTTTCAGAAAATGAAGTATCTTGGTTAGCCAAATTATCTTTTTTCCAGCGAAATTGTGCAGCCTTTTTATGTGGAAAACGTGGAGTTTCGGAAATTATTGGACTCTCTTTAACGGTTACCTCTGCTGCAAGACGTTCCTCGATCTCAATAATTCCATCGCCTGCATCGTTATCGTTATCAACATAGATATCTTGTAAGATAATTTCATATGGACCTTCTCTTGAAAGTTCTTCTACTAAAAAGCTGTTATTATTTTCAGAAGCATTGTACAAGTTGCTTATAAGTTCAGATTTTTCCGATTCATCCGAAATATCCGAATCATCAAAATTGGTTAAAATTTTTTCAATTTCAGAATTTTTAAGCCTGTTTGCCATTTTTTATGTTTTAATATTGTATGAGTGCAGAAAAATAACGTCTGTATCGTATCAACATCAAATGCAAAATGATTTGCGTGGATAATGTTTACTACCACAACTCTCGTTTGTATCCATATGGATACATACAATTTTAAAAAATCGGCAGAGCTTTCCTTTGTTTTAAAATCAAAAATTGTAAATGGCGAAAGATAAAATAAACGTTGCTCTTTATAACTGTTAAGTTGTAGAAAAAATAATATTGGTATTTATGCATGTATTTTGGAAAATAAAATAACCATTTTTACGAAAAAAAAATACGGAAAAAATTGTTTCTATTAAATTGCTATATTTTTGTCAGTTTTGTTAAGAATAACTACAATTTATTTTGAAACTTGTTAAGAAAGCCTCAAATAACAAGTATTTGTATATACTTAGGCCAAAACATCGATTCCGAAATTGCAAGATGAGTTTAAAGTTCAATGTATCCATATGGATACAATGGAGCGAAAGGGTTAAAGCTCTTTGGAAATAAAATCAGTCATAAAGTTCATTCAACTTTTCATGTGTGTGTGTGTGGACTTGGATTCGTTGTTGTTTGTGCTGTATCTTTTTTGTCTTAAACAGCAACAAATTGTATCACAACATTTTTTGGGACCAAAGTCGATATCGTAGTAACTGAATACGTGTGAAATTACATAAAAACCGATTTGAATCAAAGCGGATTTGCTTTTTGGTCAACAAAATTGATAACTTGATTTATCTATCTGTGTGCAATCACGCATTTTATTGTTATGTAAAGGAAACTACAGAAATGTAAATATGTATATATAAAAGACTAGGGAAACAGATTGACTGACTGAGAATGAACGCTTAGACGAAATGGCAAGGTAGAATTTTGACATTTTGCACGAAGTTCAGTCTTGTTGCGTAGGCGTATGATAAGTCTAAGTTTTGGGAAATACGTACTAAAAGTGTACCAAAAGTACTTAACTGTACTAAAAATTGAATACTTTTTATTGCACAAACGGAATGAGCTAGCTGCTAAATGGTACTAAATTTGGAACAGATTGGTTCAAGGTGAACGAATAAAGCTGGAATTTTGTATTGGGGTCCCTGTTGGTGGTAGGTTTGTGATAAAGTTGTGATATTGGAAGTGCTTACCACACGTGCACGAAAATTACTAAATAGTACTATATTTGGTACAATTTGGTATTGGGAGAACGGGGTGATTGAACTCTGAAATGTCTATTAGTATCGCTGTTCATGTGTAGCCTGGACATATGCAAGTGGTTTCGGAAATGTGTATCATAATTGTACGAAAAGTACTAAATTGTACTAAATTTGGTCTTGGTTGAGAGGATAGACACAAAATTCGGAATTTTGATATTTAGATAACTGTTGGTGGGCCTGAAAATATGTGCCATAATTGTTCGAGAAGTACTAAATAGTGCTAAATTGGTTGAAGAAATAGAGCTGATACCGTGAAGGTTTATATTGCAATAACTGTTGGTGTCTAGGATTGAAATATGGAACGGTTTTGCAAATGAGTACTTGAATTATTCGAACAGTACTAAATGTTACTAAATTCGATATTGTGTGAATGTATAGAACTAGAATCCCGAAATTTGATATTGAGATCTCTGTTGGTATCCGGTGCTAAGATCCGGTGGTGGTATTGCAAATGCGTACTATAATTGTTCGAAAATAACTACATTGTTTTTGTATTCGTACAAAATATTATTAAAATTGATATGGAGCTGAAATTTGATATTGAGGTCACCGTTGGTTTCTAGGTTTACATGTGGAGACGTTGAATGAGTTTTGGACAGAAATATTGGATGTAGGTCCATTGTGCAATAGTTTTACTAATTTCCCCCTCTGTAAATTTCATATTTAAAGATTTGTGTTTTTTGGTGTAAAAATTAAACATTTTTCTATTATTCTTTTTCCCAAAAAGGAAGAACTTGAATAATATATAAAACCTTGAAAATTTAAAAATTTGGTACGATATATGAGTTTTGATTAAAATATTTTTTGAAACTGAACAAATTGTGCATTTTTAATTACTAAAGGGTCTAACACGAACTGATGGAATGAATCTAATCTTTGTTCGCTTTTAGTGTCAAAGACACTCTGTTTATTTTCGGGTGATTTGTACTTTATAAGTACTTGGTTAGTAGATTAACTTGTAAGAAGTTACGTCTGCCAAAAATAGTTAGGAAACCCATTATTTGGTAATGAGGTCTCCCTCTTCGATGTGGGAAAACTAAGTCTAGAACAAGATCTGGCCTACGAACTATGATCGCAGTCTTTTTCTGGTATCTAGTGTGGATCACTTCCAAAGTTGGATTACTAGCCGCTGGATTGCATTTTTGAATTCCAATGATTTTATTAAAGTTTCCTTTTTCCTTTTTTTTCTTTTAGAAATAACTCAAATGAACCATACATCATTTATGGTAAACAAACAAAAAATTGTTTCCTTCCTGTATTTGTTGAATGACGATGGTGAGAAGCCAATATTATTGTGACATAGATCCAATTGTCGGTCGTCTGTCTAGTAATTAAATTTTGAAGTCACCAACAACTGTCTAAAAATTTTGCACAAAGTCTTATAATTTTAAAATGTATATATATTCTGCAAAATTGTTACTTATATAATGTTGCGGAATATTTTAATCTGATACGATTAAATTTGAACCTCGTTGAAGAACAAACCCTTTAATGGCACGACAGCTGGAAAAATATTCACCTGATTTTTTGCCTTTACTATTACCCCAGATATTCTATACCTAAAATGCATGGATTGCAAGTAGTCTTTAATCAAATATTTTCAAAATGTAAAAATGCACTGAACTTCCTTGCCCTATGTCGATTATCTCCCGATGTAAACTTCCAAAACGCCGATATACGAGTCTCATATTTTTAGCTCCACTTTCTTAATTTACTCGGTTTTTCTTGTTGTAATTTTTTTGTGACACAATTTATAGTCGCTTTGGACCCCAGAATAAATTTTTTATAGAAAATTTCAAATTATGGATTTTTGTTTGGTCAAATTTTATAAAGTATTTTGGTAGGAAAATTACGCACGATAACGGCAACAAATACTTCAAATGTCCAAACAAACAAGCAAGTAATTCATCTACAATCTTTGACGTTTGACGGGGCGTTTTTCGTACTCACATCAAACACGCTATTGACGTGTGGTGGTGTCCATTTATTTTTGCATGATGACGATGGGTAGGTAGATGGGTGTATGGCTGTCTGGAAGCAATGAATGAATGAATGAATGGTTTTCGTATATTTTGGCCCAATGCCATTTTATTCATGTAGACTGGATTTACTGTTATTGAAAACTGGTCTGGTGTACATTTTTCAAATGGTCATCATTTTAATTTCTTTGTAAAAAAATTAAAATTATTTACTTTTATTTTGAATATCAAAATATCGTTTATCTTTAATGTATTTTTTTGCTCTTTTCTCATTACAGTTTAAATCAAGACCTGTCAAACAATAATTCCTGGTGGATTGATTCTTTCCATACATAACAATACAATACTCTAATTCTCGCATCCCTGTATCATACCAAACCGACCTGAGAAGAACCAACAAACAACAGCCGCAAACTGACTTAACTTTTCCTTTTCTCAATACTCCACTTAACGTATTCTTAGATTATAAACGGCCAGAACGTTTTATCCCTCACTGTAAACATTACAATCGCAACATCACAGCAACTTTACAAAAATGAGTAAAAAACCAACAGCTGGACCCGCGTTACACAAAGTAATTATGGTTGGTAGTGGTGGTGTTGGTAAATCAGCGCTGACCCTGCAATTCATGTACGATGAATTCGTCGAGGACTACGAACCAACCAAAGCTGATAGTTATAGAAAAAAGGTAAGTTGTTATTGGATTGTTTGTGTGTAATTCGAAACATTTTAGTTGTAATTCGATACTTCTTTTTTGCAATTCATTAAAATTTAAACTATCCATTCGAAATTCGAAAGAGATCATATAGAGTTTGTGCATTTTTGTGTAACATGAAAAATGAAAAGAGATATACCCACAGTAGTTGAATTTGGTGATCTCCATAAAATCACATTTTGAGTCAATTTATGGATGTCTGTCTGTCCGTATATTCTTGTAATCAGAGTATAGGCAGCACACAGGGTGAGACGAAAAAAATTGCAACCAACTTAAGACTGCTGTCATTTCTAAGCCCCTCGTACGACAACTGTTAAATTTATTTCAGTGACAGCTCATTATATCCATATATCATTTACATGCATACAAAAGCATTTGGTAAGAATTTTCCAGAGCTGGGGGTAAAGCCATTGAAATTCCAAAAAGTGCAAGAACTTACACCACCACAGAAAGAAAATAGACTCAAAGAGCTAAAGAGCCGAATTTAGTTTTCTCCGATGAGAAAACATTCGTTGTACATTAAAGTTTATATTTGGTATTTTTAAGGATTCAGCAGGATTCTCACAGGATTGACCCACCTAAAATATCCTATTGAATTGGCTGTAATATACATTTGTTGATCCTCTATGGAGTAGGTTTTGAATGAATGTGCCAATATTGCTCATTTCGTGTCGGACCTAAATAGATATAAATATTGCTACGTGTCAGTTTACTCTCCACGCCATTTCCCACTGGCTTCTTTGTAATATAGGTATACCGAAAAAAGTCGAACTTTAAAAAAAAGTTTTTTGTTTTAAAAATAATCTTTGTTTATTTTAGTTTCAAATACGTCATGCCCTTTATTTATTTCTTGCCAATACTAATAAAATAATTTCCCCCTTCTTTCAGGTTGTATTAGATGGCGAAGAAGTACAAATAGATATATTGGACACAGCCGGCCAAGAAGACTACGCTGCCATCCGTGATAATTATTTTCGTAGTGGTGAAGGTTTCCTGTGTGTTTTCTCTATAACAGACGATGAAAGCTTCCAGGCTACACAAGAATTTAGGTAAGTGACTATGTTCAGGACTTCTTTTTTGTTGACAAACACTTTCAATGAGAGAACTGTCGTTGTAGCTTCAATTGAAAAAAAAATTAAGTTAGAACTTTTAAATGTTTATTCTAAAAATCAGAGCTCGGAATTTGTTCGGTCGATTTCGAGTAGTGAGTGAAACTCACTTGAATTCGAGCGGAAGTACACCTCCTCCTAAAAAAACAGTTAAGTTAGACTGCGGCGAACTTTGAATTCCTTCCACCATTCCGAAAGCAACTCTTTTAAGAACGTATCTAAAAATGGTGAGGTAAATTTGGTGCCAGATGCTAGCTATTACCGGCCTAAAATAGCAGATTTCAATGTCATTGGAGGAAAAAAGTGTTGGCTATTATAAAGATTAAAAAATACATTTCAAAGAATTCCGTTGGAAAATGAGGTTATATTCACCAATGAAACAAATATCGGGAGGCCCCTTTATAAGAGGGCTATACGAGTACATGGACATGTATAGATCACGTTCAGTTTGATGGATCGGTCCACTAAGTCCTTCAAATATCAAATTTCAAAGATTTTCGTTGAAAAATGTGGTCACAACATCAAAACACCGAATATTGGGATATAACTTTCTATGGGGACTATACGAAAACATGGTCCAACTTTCGATCTTATAAAAGATGTCAGGCATTACATAGGTATGACCAATATTTTAGAGACATTACCACAGGCGGACATATTCACGAAATCGGGTGCAACCAAGTTTCCTATGCCACTCGAATAAGAGCGAGTATGCTTTAGTTGAGTGTGAGTACACTATATGTCTATATGATAGAGTAAACTCTTACTTTAAACATACTCTTGAGCACTTCCACATAAAACAAAAGAGTTGAGTGCAAGCTTCTTGTAAAACTTGTACTTCCGAGTCAAGTCAAGCACATCGTAGCTCTGGTTTGAATTAATTGGCACTGCACGCAATTCGTACTCGATATACGGTTTTTTATTGACCGAAAAATTTTGAACTCAAATTGTTGTTATACATTATTTGAAAATTACTATTAAAAGTAATGTCACGAATGAAATTTTCTCAAGGTTTGACTATGCACAGAGTAGGAGGATATTTGTACCACCCATCTGATTTGATTATGGAAATACAATCCCTATACGATGATTTGACCTAATTGTTAATAACTCCGCTTTTACTTACTCACATTTCATGTTACTTGTTTGTTCATTTTTTTCATTTCTTGTTGTTGTCATTGTTGTCTTCTATATCATGGCTCAGACATTTACCCGAATGATACCTGTCGTTCATTTCAGCTTTCCATTTTTATTTTCGTTCATAAAGTAGTTGAAATTTAATATTTTTGCTTTGGCTTAGCCGCCCAGTGTTAAAATGGGAGGTATGAATTCTGCGTTGATGTTTTTTTCTTGTTGTTTTTGGTTTTCAACCTCTCACTGTCTGTCATTATGTGGATGGATGTCCATTTTGTGGTGAATGTCGTTGTCTCAGGTTGTTGTCGGCTTGAGATATCATCTCATGACCAATTCGTACATTAACTTTGCCAACAAATTTTGCAGTTGTCATTTTCTTGAAACTTACTTTTCATTAACACTTTCTCAGCAATAATGTCGTTGTTATTGCTGTTGTTGTTGTGTCCGTCGCTTCGTCGTCCGACCACCGACCGATGTTAATGAACATTGTCGTATTAATTTCAAAGTCTTTACTAATTAACACCGTCATGATGGTCGTCCGTTGAGGTGGAGGTGACAATTATTATGTTGTGTATGTGTTTATTACGGCGATGTTAATCTTTTAAATGGACATGCTTTACGATTGGTAGACGATGCACAGAGCTCGAGGTCGTATGGGAACAGCGGCCAAAAATACTTTCAGTGCAGATATCAATATGAATCTTTGGTTATGGTACCTTGATGGGATAAATATAAAAAATGTGACAAAATGGATATGGTCGATGCATGTTTTGGCATGGTCCCCATATAACGTACCTCCCGAATAAGGGTTATTTGCCCAATTCTTGTCACATTTCTACACCAGATTGTAATGTTATTTGACATTTTACGTTCTAAGGAGCTAAAAAATAATCTTACTGAAAATTATTTGGAACAGCCCGCCATCAGGTAGAGTCCCTTGTAAGGTAGCTCCAAAAATAGAAGCAGTTTTTATACAAATCAAGTCCAAATTTGATTATTTTTTGTAAACAAAATAAAATCACAATTTAATGTAAAATTATATCAAAGATAAATTTTGCACAAATAATTAGTTTGACTTAAGGCCCTATTGAAATTGGATATAACCGGTCAAAATTTAGGTATAGCTTCCATATATATTCATCTAAATTGCCTTATATTGTGCACCAAACTTGTAATATCAGCCCAAATAGTATGGAATATGGAATACGACCAGATGGGACCTGAAAATAAGTATGCCAAATTTGATCGAAATCGGTTCAGATATATAGCTCCCATATATATTGTTCATCCGATTTGTTATTTTTGTCCTTCGCAGCCATAATATGCACTCTGTGACAACGATATTTGGGGAAATATATCAAATATAACTCAGAAATACCCTTTCTAAATTTTATCGAGATCTGTTAATATTTGGACATGGCTCAAATATATATCTTCGTCCGATTTGCCTTTTATTGTGCACCAAACGTGTAATATTAGCCCAAATCAAATTTAGATATAGCTCTCATATATATCTATCCGATTTCAAGTTAATGGTGCACCAAATGGATAATACAAGCCCGAATTGAAAAGGCGCAAATGCCTCGACAAATTTAATAGAAATCGATTCAGAGGAGGATATTCCTCCCATATATTAGTTCCTTTGGACTTATACTATAAACATTGTTGGTATGATTTAATTCTCACAAATTCCCCATTAAAACCTTTATTTGTTTTGTGACGCTCTACTAAATATGCAAAGTGGTGTAGGGTATCATGAAGTCGGCCTCGCTCGACTTTAAGACTTTCTTTACTGGTTATTGTTTGGTAAGGTTCGCTGTCCCATTATAAAAGGGTCAGAGCTCAGAAGAAGACGGTTAATAAGATCTGTGTTTGTTGAAACACGAGAATTTTTTCGGGCATGATTTAGTCGAAACTTGGAAGATAGTGCCATGGATATAAATTTGTTAACTCTTTAGCAGTTTCCAGTGCAAAGGCCTTATTATTATACCCAGAGGACAATGCTTGCAACATTATTGAACACACCTCAATTACATCCTTATCAATCCCTAACAACAAAAACATATTCTTTGTCACATGCACCATAGAATTGACAAAATTGCAGCGAAGTCACTTCATTGGGCATAATGTACACATCAGACAAAATCTGAAAGTTAAATTAGCACTTTTAGAATCTTAGGACCATTACTAATGGCGTGAAAAAAATCACATTGGAGGATTCAGGGGGGAAAACAATTAAAACTTTAACTGAAATCCAATTTTATCTTCAAAATTAATCTTAAAGGCAACTCAGAACTCTCACATCTTCTATATTATACACATATATTAAACACACAAATTACTGGACTAAAAATAAGTTAATACCTTGCTTTTCAATAATGCCAAGATTTGTAATTTTAAAATGTATTTAATTTTGTAATACAGTTCTATTTTTACTCCACTTTTTCTCTGATCCCACTGAAAAAAACAACTAACTACATTTTCTCTTTTTTGATGCTATTTTCGAAGTGTCCCGTTAGAATGAAGCCAAGATTATTGTGTTTTCTAAAAAGCTTAACCCCTTAAGAGTTCATTTGCACACATTTGACAATAAATATCTGATTCTCATTTTTTGAATTTTGGCCAATGGCAGCGACCTCTGTGCGATGGTTACGGATTTGGGATCTGAATGACAAGTGAAAGGTATAAGGTCTTTTTAACTTTAAATCATTGAAATGATATGCTTTTTTAAGTACAGAAGATCTGTAGAAACAGACTGAAATCTAAAATAAAAACACTTATCTAATATCTTCTATTCACTCAAGATCTGTGCGACAAAATTATTTTTTTTTCCAAAATTACCGAAAATACGTGTATCGTAGTTTTGAAATTTATCATTTCAAAGACGAATGAAAGGAGGAATTTATAAACATTAAAAACACTTTTTAGGGTTCAAATCTTGCTTCATGTGAGTTTATTTCCTACAAGGCATTATTTCAGAATAATGACGTCAAGTTTTATAAATTCCTTCTAAAATGGTACAAAAAGTTCTATAATGTACTAACAATGTAATACTTTGTACCAAAGGGTTTTTGGAAATTCGAATTACAAAATGTTATAATATGGTACTAAAATTCTAAAATGATACCATTTGGCATTATGTGAATGGATAGAGCTAAATACTTGAATCATTGTTGGAAAGTAAGTTTGATACATGAAGCTGGTTTTGAAAATTTGTACTAAGTGTACGAACGGTACTAAATGGTACTAAATTTGGAACAGTGTGGTGAAAGGATGAAGCTGTAATTTTGAAATTGTGTATTGGAGTTCCTGATGGTGCTTGGGTTGTGACAAAGAGGTGGTTTTAGAAATGTGTACTACATGTGCACGAGAAGAAATAAATAATACTATATTTGGTACAAATTGGAATTGGGTTAAAATCTAGTGATTGATGTATGAAAAGTACAGAATGGTACTATGTTTGGTATTGAGGTCTTCGGAATTTGATATTGATGTCACTTTTGGTACCTGTAATTGAGATATGGAGGAGATTTTGGAAATATGTGCTATAATTTTACGAAATTTACTACCACTCTACTTACCACTTAGTACTTTTCGAACACAGTACACATTTCCAAAACCACCTCCACATCTTAACCGCAGTTGACATCTTATTAGATTTCAGCTCTTTGTCCAATACCAAATTTAGTACTATATTTGGTATTGGATAAAGAGGTGGTTTTGTAAATGTGTACTGCGTTCGAAAAGTACTGAGTGGCACTAAATTGAGTATTGGGTAAATAAAAATTTTATATTGCGGTCTGTGT